GGAAACAGATGGTTCTTCTCAACCTCTCAGCAGTCTTCAGAGCACTCGCATCTTCTTTCCGGACTGAGTCCCTCTTTTGCGGGGCTTCTGGCCCTTCCTGTTGGGACTTCCCAGCCCAGGAGGTGGTGCCAGAGGCCCACTCTTCAGTGCCCCGGTCCTTGTCTTCTTCTGGGCTCCACAACACAGCCAGCAACTGCTGCGGGAGAGGATTCAGAACTCGGAGTGGGAAGCCCTGGACGTAGGCTTGGGACGCTGAGCTCTACTGCTCCCTGCTGCCCAAAGACACCACCGTCAATACCTTCACCTGTTTCCCAATCTCAGTCAGGAGAGCTAATTGAGGGACCACAAGTCAAATGAAGTCTGAGGTCGCTGCCCTTGGGCTCTGGATGGGGCTGCATTTGCCCAGAAAGACTCCAGGAGCCTTCCTGGATCTCTCCTGGCCCTCGGTTCGGAGGTCTCTGCCCCCGGGGCCTTCCTATAAACCGGGCCTCCCTACAGCGGGGCATCACGTAGAAGGCAGGGCAGAAAGTGCAGAGGCTCCTGGACAAGGAACGGGAATCGTAGAAGGCCTGCCACAAAAGATTGGCATTCGAGACCAACCTTTACCTGGCCAATTTCAGATGCTGCCGTTGCCCCCTGCAGGGCTCCGGAGCTGCTCATTTGTGGGGAAGCCTCTCCCTAGGAACCTCCCTGATCATGGGGGGGGAGGGAGGGAGGGGGGTCCCAAGATGCTCGTAGTCGGAAGCTTCTCTGTCATGGAGAAGGAAGGGCCTTGTCCCTCCTCACTCTCCACTATAGGAACGTGCTCACTCCCACTTCTCCAGAACTTTCCAATATTTTTAGTCCAAGCTTTTAATTGCTGATTATTTTAATGATTCATTTAACTGCATTAATTTTGTTTTGTTTTTAATACTCTGCATTTTTACTGTTATAAGCTATCTTCAAAGTTGGAATAATCAGAAATGCAGGCTATTATTTTTAAAAATAATTTTTGAAGTGCTTTTAAATACATATATTAAAGGATGTATGTATATTCTTAACCAGATTCTTTAAGGGGGTGAAGGTGCTGGAAGAACCGAGTTTTAAGTCTCCTCTCTGCACAAAATTTCCCTCCTCTCTCGACCCAGCCTACTTTGCCTTCTGTAGTTGAGATACAACTCAGAGAAAATAAATAAAAATCTCACCTTGGCAATTCTTTTAAAAGTGAAACCTAGAAACAGGAGGCAAATGTAAGCATTCCTGTTCCCACCTCACATCCTGTAGCAAGAAAAGTCATTTCTTGTGAAACATTCTCTGCAGTATCCAATAAAAATGTTTTATGTAACAATTACAGATTATTCTCTTGTTTCAGCAATGCTATTGCTTTATGCACTAGATCTATCACCAACTTTTAATTAACCTGATTAAGGAAATAAAAACAGTTAGGAAATGGTAATGACAGATTATTTCAATAGCGTATTCAATCCTTGTAAGTGCGCTATATTATTGCAAGAAATATTAAAACCACTAAAAAGTGTTACAATGGCAGTGAGTTCCTTCAAGTACAAATATTGTGACAGGGAAAATAAGGTATAAATATATTGATAAAAGGAATGATATAAGTAAAAGAACAGTGGTTAGGAAGCATGTATGTATAATTAATGACAGATGAAAAACAATACTGATTTAATTGGTTTAATAAACCAATTAACAATTAAATAATCTCTGTTTAAAACAAAAATATTTTGAAAATATGGAGAAACAAGATGTTATTAGTTTAGAATTAGAAAAATTACATCAGGATTTAATGCAGGTACTAAACTTTTAGTAGGTGTACATCAACACAAGAAAGTAAACAAAAACACTACTAAGTTGGAGGAGGAGGAGGAGGAGGAGGAGGAGAAGAATCATCCAGTAAATGTAGCTTCTTGGACCGGTGGTTCTCAGTCTGGGCAATCGGAAGGTTTGTGGACTTCAACTCCCAGAATTCCTTAGCCATGATCACTGAAGAATTATGGGAACTTCAATATATCTCCAAAATGCTCAAGACTGAGGCTAATTTGCGGCATAATTAGGAATTTTAGCAAATAGACTAAATAACGCAAGATTTACTTCACCCTTAGTCACAATTGACAAATGAGAAGTTGAGAAATTACACTATAATATTTAAAAATAAAATATAAACATTTTTTTAAATGAGTATTTTGAAATAATGGGAAACAAGTCCAATAGAAAGAGAGAATGGGAAACTAATGGGGAAGGATGAGAATGAACAGAACATGGAGGGAAATGATAAACTGCAAAAATTAATAGATCAGCAATTATTTATTATTCCTAATAAAGACAAATGCCACACAAAGGGAGTCTATACAATTTGTTGAAATGTGACAACAGCCACCTTTGTTCAACTTTATTTCTCTCTGCACCCTCCATTGTCTTGCAATCCGTTGCAATCCGCTGAACTGACCAGCTGACCTGCAAAGCTCATCCTTTTGAAGACAGCAACTGTCCACAGCGGGCTGGGGGGGCGGGAGGGAGGGGGGAGGGTGTCGGAACCAGGGCGAGTGGAAGGCTGATGGACTTCATCTCCCAGTCAGCAGTTCTATCCTGACTGCAGATGAAGCCAAAGCTAGCGAGAAAAGAGAAGTCTTTGTTTTTGCTCTTTCCATTAGAAAATAATCATTCATTTGCCAGTCAGCTAAAAACATTTAAGTAGCAATGTTCTGAAAATATCTTTATAATGATTTATAGGTATTTGTCATTTTATTAAAGTCATGCAGTCACTTTTTGTGAGATAGGTAACCATATTAATGTTAATGAGACAGACGTATATTGTAATATTTCCTTTCCTACAAGCATAGGTGCATCTTCCTCTATCTCTTGATGTCTCCTTTCATTTGGTCAATACAGTTTAAATTGTTTATATCTTCTAAAATTATAATTCATAGGAATTATAATCACTATTTAATAGATTCTGAACAAGCAACAAAGACAAAATTCACATCTTTAGGAACCTTATTGCCAATTGGCATAACGTTTGATTTTTGAATACCTGGCATATTTCCCATATAACTATACAATCTCAACCAGTGCCATGTTTTTATAATCCCTTTAAGAAGCACCCAAGTATCACATGATGGGGACAATTTGTATTGCGGTTCAGGCCTGGGCTTTTCCTGGGCATCACCAGTTCATCTTATTAAACACTCCAGGGGTTCCAGCACCAAATTAAATATTAAAGGAGATAATGGAGGTTCACAATGCATCCCATGTTGGCGTGGTGGCTTTTTTCGTTGGTACAATTTTCCCTTTATAAAACAGAACAAAGACAAAAGAATAACAAAAGGAAAGAGAAAGGGAAGTAAGAGAAATAAGTTATAAAAATTATGCATGTAGTGACTTCTTATGAATGAATATAGGTTCGGTATTACAATTTCAATAAAGGATGGCCATTATTTATAGTAACCGTAATCATCTATATGTAACCTACCTCTGTAACCAACTCATTTGTAAGTCAAAGTAACCTCAGGTCTTCGATCCACTGAGGAACGGGGGGGGGGGGTGTGTGTGCTATGATTCTATCTCTCCTGCGTTGAAGGGCAAAAGGGAGGCTCCCGAGGGAGAACCTCTTCCTGTTGTCCAGGGTAGGTACCTAGTTCCAAAGAATGTAGGTGTCAAAAATATTAAGCCTGATATATCAGGCAAATTCAAATATGTAATAACTTTTCCCCAAAATTTTAGGACATTGCAGAAAACATGAAGTTTTATTCTCATTGCATCTCCCACATGATTCTTTTTTAATCAGTGTGATAGATGATTCAAACAAACATCAGGAAAACGAACAACAAACCACTTGTTTCACACATGCCCTCCAGCCCACTGTCTGTGGGAAAGAGCCCACAAGTTTTAAGAGCCACCAAAGGCCGCGTTTGCGTCACACTGAAAAAACTACAATGAAATGAAGGACTGTGAAAGCTTTTGAGGAAGGAGGCAACGCTGCCCCCACCCTTCTCTTGGCCAAGCAGGTCTGGCTAGTTGGACCCAACAGTAGGTGGCCTTCACCAGCCAGGAAGGGAGGGGTAAGCAGGTGGAAGCCATAGCAGACTTCAGTATCCTGTCCACTCCTTCAGGAGGTCCAGTGTCAAACTTGCCCCAGGCAATCACTCAAGATCCTGCTTCCATTCACCTGGAAGGACTTGCTAAATTAGAGCCCAACTCCTAGCTAGTCCCAGCAACTTTATCTTACCATCAGACCTTCTTCAGAATACAGAGTTAAAGACAGAACACTTTAGGCAAGAAAAACAAATTCAGGTGCAGAACAGACTCTTGGACGGAGGTTTTTATTATACACGTCAATCACAAACGACTTTTCCCAAAGAAAGAGGCCAAGCACCTGGGGGGAGGGAGGGAGGGAGGGGGGATGAGACATTCAAAGGAGACATGGCATCATCATTGTTGAGTCATGACACGGTTCCTATTACAGAATCCGGAGCATAAAAGTATATATAGAAACCTGCAAAGCCCATCCTGGGCTCTGCACCCCCTCTGGGGTTCTCCCCATGGCTGAGCTAAATGAGGAGGAGATTCTACAAGGCCAAACCAAGGGGACTAATAACAATACAACTCGGGTTTTCAGAGGGGAAAAGAAAAATTGGCTTTTAAAAAAGAATTCCCGGAGAAGGGAAGGGGGGAGAGTTATGAAAGTTTAAGCACCATTTTTTAAAACTCTTCATTTCTCTCTTAATTATATTTCTGGGAGCTATTCTAGTTCAAAACTATTTTAAGTATATATCATGTATAAATATTTTAATACCAAGTAATTCTAGAATATTAGGTTAAATTGGGGATCAATGGGAAATTAAACAGCAAAGGTTTATGTGCGATTGAATTGTATTATAATACAATAATGTAAACTTATATGTGTTCAATTTGCAGACTGTGCTTCCTTATGAGAAATGAATATGAAATTGCAGATAGCTCCAGAAATCAACCTCCCGTTTCATTCATGACTCCTATGGACCATGCAGGGGAATAAGAAACACGCTGCAGACGGGCAGAGTGACGCCTCGAGCATCGGGAGCCTGCTGGACGACACCGACAGAGAGGTGTGCAGCCTCACCGACCGAGCTTTCAAAAGCCTGTGCGTGGCTGAGCTTCAAGCACCTTACACAGATGTAGATCCTGTTGTGGGGCCACCCAACATCTCCCATCAGTTCTCTAGCAAATTCTTTCACGGCCCCTGGGATTATGCCCTCAGGAGAAACACCAACTTCCACAAGCAACTCTCGAAAAAGGAGCACGCAACATTCCTACTTTCCAAAGTTTCTACCAACTCCAAAACTCATGAAGATAAAAAGTATTATCTAGTCAACCCAAGCATAAGAAGAAAACTGGATCTGCCGCCACTGTCTGATCTGCACAACTGTACACACATCTCAAAAGTGTCTTCTTTGATCAAGACCTTCGATAAGGTTGACAATCAGGTCTCCCTTCTGCTAACCAGGCAGCCAGTCAACCATAGTTTGACAGAAGGTCCATTGATATGTGGGGACGATATGGCTCTCTGGAGTGGCAGAAGAGTTGTAAACATCCCAAAGGGGATCCCTGAACTTCCCGACCCAGATCCAAACCAAGGAAATCCAAGTGACAAGCGCAAAGGATTTAGCGAAATAGATCTGGTCTATCAAAGCCTGCCTGCCTCCCATCCTTCCCAAGCAAACGTTTCGAATACACCCAAGTTCAGCATCTCTAACAAGACGGTGAAAACCAGAAGTGAAAAGGCGAAAGAAGCAGCCAGAAAAAGCAGCTTTCTCCACAGTGAAAACAGCGCTTTTGAGTCATGGAAGGCACACCATAAAAAAATATTTGGAATGGGAGAGGCGATGCCCGCGGAGGGCAGCCTCGGTTGCTTCGAGGAAGCGCCTTTCTTCACGAGGCCTCGCGTTTCTGAGCCGAAGCCAATAGGTGCCTTCATGCTAGAAGGAAACTTCTCTGGCGACTCTTCGCCACAGTCTCTCTCCAAAGCCTCCCTTTCTTCGGTGCCTCCGGCAGACGGGTATTTCCCTTCTCCGGCCGATGCAACGTGTACCGTTGCCCCACAGCTCTTAGCCCAGGGACTTGCACCTGTGTACGAGGGTCCTTCTCCAACCTCCCCAACATCTACCACGCTTTTCCCCCCAAGAATGTCCCTCTCCATCCCAGTGTCCAAGGCGCCACTCCCCCCATCGCCTTTCCCTCAACTCTCTCCCCCTCCAGAAGCCGCATTCCACCCCACTGATACGCAGGGAATGCTGATGCCCCATGTGACTGGACTAGCAGAGAAACCCACCAAGCCAGAATTTGCACTTAGGGTAGGAAATGGCGGCCCTCCACCCTGGAGGAAACAAAAAGCTACTCTTGGTAGAATGAAAGCGGCAGAAGTCAGAGCAGCCGAAGCGTTAGACCTGAAAGATTCCCCATACGGAAAGCCCCCTGAGGTTGCCCCTTTGGTCGGAAGAGCTGCGCCCGAGTCACAGGTGACCTTGCCCGATCCTCCCTTCGGCATCTCGGCCCTCCTGACTCCGGTCCCACCCCTCGAGCCTCAGAATGAAGGACCACCAGGAAACCGGCTTCTAGTGGTGACTCCATTCATGTTGGAAGCCGGGGCAGCCAAGGAGCCCGAGGAGAAGGCCTTCTATTCTCAGAACGATTACAAGTCTAAAGCGCCACGTTTGCTATTTAACCTGAAGGACATCCGAAAGCGCGTGAAAAGCACCTACAGCCCCTCTCCTCTCCTGAGAGCCCTGGAGGACAAGGGCAAGAGGGAGGGCCACCTGAAGGCAGCTGCTATGGCAACCGACGTATTGGGTGACGACAGTGAAAAAGCGCTTGGTGGCACTGATAAAGTTAATATATTTGACCAGATGGACTACATCCAGGAAAAGGACAATTTCACCAGTCTAAATGAGAATTTTATCAGCGATGATGTACTCTTGAGCTTATCTAAGTCAAGGGCAGGTGTTTTAAAGTACCAAAATAAGAATCATTTGCAGCAAAGCGATTCCGTGCACACGGAGGAGGCTGAGAGGGTCTCTGTGCATGAACAGAGTGAAGCTCAACCTGCTCCTTCACCCAAACCTCACCTGGCAGGTGTAGCAGCCGCACAGCCAGAGGTCGTGCAGGAACACAAAGATAAAAATGTCACTTTGGGTCAAGATGCCGATGGAGCGTCTGGAAATCTGCTTTATCCGGCTGAAGGAAAGGCAGGTAACCAGGGACCTCAGGCCTGCTCCTCAGCTGGGAACGACCCCCAGGGCAGAAGAAGCCCCCATGATTCTTCTGAGCAGTCTTTTGTTACCACGGCAGACCAACCGCTTCCCGAGACGGCCTCTTCTCTCATGCAGCTTTTCCAGAAAGCCTGTCTCCAGGAGAGCCAGCGAAGGAGGAACGACGCGGATGAAAGAGAAGAGAAGAGCGACAGAGAGGGAGAGGAGAAAGCCAAGGAAGAGGATTTGCATGGCCACCTTCTTAGCAACTGTGACTCTGCTATGGATGAACCCCTCAAGGAGAAGAAGGGGAAGGAGGATGTCCTGCAGGAGGAGAAGGAAGAAGAGGGCTGGAAAAACACAGACCGCGAAGCTGAGAGCAGGCCGGGAGAGCCCCTCACCCCAACCTTATCAAGCGTCCTGAAGCCCACTTTGTTCATGATTAAAGACAACACGTTTAAGTCTCCCCCTGTGACTAAAGCCATCAAGCTGCCTCTGCTGAGGTCTTTGTCCTGTGAAGAAGCCCCTCCGGCCCCCCAAGAGAATCCCAGGGATGCCCAGGAGGACGGGTGGGGGTCTCCCCAAGGGAACGGGGGCTCTCAAGGGGCTGACAAAAGCAGTCCAGCAACCAAGGGCAGCTTTAGCGAAGGGTTAGACCCTTTTCCTCCTGTGGGGGCAGATTCCGAAGAAACTGGTTGCGTGTCAGTGTCACCAGAGAAGGAGTTAAAAGGCCCTGAGAAATTAGCTACTTCCAAAGAGAAGATCAGGGTTAGAAAAGGGAGGTCCAGTTCTGCCATTCAGCCACATCTAGGCTTCGAAAGGGAGGAGAGGCCCCCTGTAAGAGAAAGGGTACATTGTATGAAGAACCGTGCCTTAACTAGACCAAGAGGGGGTCCTTGCATTAAAAAAATAATAAGCCAAGCGGGAAAGTCCCCCATAGCGGCAGAAAATCTTGCTTGTTCTCCCGTTTCCAGTGACGCCTTCGGTTACGCATCGTCTCCATTGAGTAATTCAGCAGGTTCTTCCCTACAGAGTCCCAGGTCAGCTTCCGTGGGTCCATTGTCAGATACGACTGCAAACATATCACAGAGTGAGAAAGCAGCAGATCACCCACCACACAGAGCGACAGGAAGCCCAGACCAGCCTTCTGCAACACCCACGCTTGATCCAGAGCGAAGGGGTCAGCTCCCTGGAGATGCTGACGGTCCTTTGGGGACGGATGAAAGACTCCAGCTGGTGAGTCAAATGGGAAGGACAACAGCCAAACCCCCAACGGTGCCACCCAAGACAGAGAAGGCGTTACGGCGGGCAAAGAAGCTGGCAAGTAGGAGGAAAAAGATGGAAGCTCAACAGAAAAAGCTTCAGGATGAAACTCTGGCCCAGAATGAAGATGCTTCATCCCTGACACCCGTCCAATCTATGCGGTCTCTTGTCTGCCCCGATTCTCCCTTGACTGCCCCAAAATGCGATCCGATAAAGCACCAACCTCTGCTCCCCGTAAGTCCCACCCCCTCTTTGCCTGCCACTCAGCGGAAGCTGCTCCAGGATCCGGATTCAGGGGAGTTCTTCATTGTAGATTTACCGCTTCGGTTAAAGACATTCTACGACCCAGAAAGTGGTAGTTACATCCAAGTGCCAGTTCCTTCCTGCAGGAGGAACGTGTCTCAAACGCCCTCTCCAGAAACGTCCTTTCCTCCTAGTGCCTGGGGTCCCAGCACTCTCCCACCCAGGGTAGCCTCTGTTCCGGCCCTCCCGTCGTCAGCTCAGCTTTCTGAAATGTTCACAAAGGCCTCGGGGTCGGTCTCAGACGAGCAGCCAGGGGGGGCCTCCTCTCCAGGGCCTTTAGATGGCTCTCCCTGCCCAGATCCACCTCTGCTTGATATCCGTGGCCAAAATGTCGATGGATCCCCCTCAAACTTTGAAAAGGATATGAGCCCCTCTGCTGCTACGGAGAACGTCTCCATGGGTTCGGCTGAAGAGTTTGTGGCCGAAGAAGGCGTATTGTGAGAATCTTTGGCCTTTGCTATTATTTTAGAAGAATGACTAAGCGTACCTGAAAGCACAAACGGTGAGGATTTCTACTTGCACAGCAATTATAACAAAATAATATCACCTCTCGGCCTTCTTGCTAAGATCAAATGTAGAATAAGAAAATATATTAATGAGAATTCACTTTTTTGTTTACTCTGAACAATTCTAATCTATTAATGACCTCCCTGTACATTTGATGTACGACACGGAAATGCTTCAACCTGACTACCTGAGGGTTGGGTTGGAGCGATCTGGATTCATACCTCACGGCTCAGTTATTCATGGTCAAAAACGTAATTCTGAGTTCAGACATCAGGTTTTATATGGTTTGAAGAGAAATTGGAATATAACATCAGGTTTTGAAACGGAGTGATTGAATTATATTTGGTTAATATATTTGAAATGAAATATGTCCACATTTCACATTTCTGTTTTCCATTGCTTATTATGATGGCACACACAGTGGTGGAGAAAAGTTAGCATTTTTTTAAAAAAAAAGTTTATCTGTACGTTTGCAAAAGTGCCCCCCCCCCCAAAAAAAAAGAAAGACCAGGCAAGGAAATAGATCTAGCTCACCTCTGATTGGCCGTGATCTGCCATCTGATAGGTTTTGATCTAAACCCCCAGGAGGAGACTAGGCGCTCAGCCTCTGCTGATGAAGCTGGAGGTTAAGAAAGAGGAGCAGAGGTGACTCTGGGTGGCCACGGGGCCCCTCCCTAGCCTTCCAAAGGCCATTGACAAAAATCAGTTGTGAGGTTTCTGGCTGTTTTAAGACAGGAAATCCACAGCTTGTATCAGCTTAAAATAGACTTTATGCAAATAAAACCCACACGTTCTACTATGTCACTTTAATATAGACTTTATGTAAACTCAGATGCATACCGGCACAGGAAAATTCTAGAACTGGCCCCTTTACATCACATCACCATCTTGTGAACCGGACCTTCCCCCCCCACCCCCTCTCCAAAGGATACTTTCAAGACGGAAAGAAGACTGGAGAATATTGATCTCTTCCCTCCTCCACCTGTCCCTGTTTAAATCCCTTATACCATCAACCAGCCCAATTCCCCTCCCCCCCAAAAAAGATGGAGATAAGATCCATCTCAGCAAACAGGACTGGAGGGCTGAAACTCTCTCAGTCGAACCTCTCCCATCTCTCTCCATTTGCTCTCCTCCCTCTCCCCGGATCAGGAAAACTGGTTTCCAAGAGGCTAGGAATCCCCTCCTGCAATGGTCCCCAATGGCCCTTTGGGGATGGGGAGGGGGGGTTCGCGACTGAAATCAGCTCTTGTGATAAGCTCCACATTATAACGACTCAGAGCTTCTGTTAATTGCTGGCCACATTTCTGGGAGGTTTTGCCCTCAAACAACAGAAAAGTTGAGTTAAACAAAATAGTGTTTTTTATAGCGCTGAGTCTCCCGCTGAGGGTCTTGTTTGTAACTCTGCAGGCCTGTCTTCCCTTTAGGAGATTCCTCAGGTAGTGAAATCAAATATTGGCCTCAAATATTGCTTCTACATCTGACTGAAATAGCTAGCATTCTCCCAAGAGGTTTCTTCTCGGGGTTAAATCAGTTTGAATCCTACTAGCCACATGCTGCCATTCAGGAGCCTAGGAGTAAATGGGGGGGGGGGAGAATCAGCGCAATAAAAACGGCTCTTTTCCTTCTGTTGTTGGAAAGAAGGACACCCCAGGAATCTGGTCCCCACCAGAGCAAAGAGATCTAGATCCTTGTTTTGAATATCTATTGGCTGTTAAAAAACATTAGCTTGGGGGAGCTCCTTGTGTGCACATGGGTCTTATCTTAAGCCATCGTTTTCAGTCCCGTCCCCCCCCCCCCGCAGTGTTTCCGATGGGGAGGGCACAAGGGCAGAGCTGATCCCAGAGGCATCAGAAGGGGATCCTGCAGACGGGTCAGTTGCGACTTCTCACAAATGGGGCAACGTTACCTTCGCTTGTCTGCCTTCTTTCTTGACTAATCTTGGCTGGTGAAAAGTTCTTGGATTTCAAAAGCTTGCAGATTTTATAACACTTCAATAAGCCAAATAAACGTATTGCCTCCACGGAATTTGGGTTTTTATTTCTCATGCCCAATATGACTACTACCTTTTAAAAAGATCATTAAAGCATATTTTATTTTTAAGAATTTTGTCGCTTATGGAAACAGGGAAAAATAGACTTTAAACCGAAGATGCAGAACTGATGCAGGCGATATATTATCCTGCATCCGGCTGAATACCCAGAAGCGGAGAAGGAAGAAGACCGAGAGGGTGACCACATAAGGCGAGACATTCCCACCACATTCAGTTCGTTATTCTTCCTGAAGGAGCCCCGGGGGGGGGGGGCGATCGAAGGATTCCCCTGTCCAATTGTGTCCGACTCCAGGGCCCAGTGCTCATCTCCGTTTCTTGGCCGGGGGAGCCTGCGTTATCCAAAGACCATTTCCATGGTCATGTGACCAGCATGGCTCTATGCCAAAGGCACATGGAACACTCTTACCTTCCCAGGGAAGTGGTACCTATTTATCTACTCACCTTTGCATGCTTTCACATTATCTCCCATTATCTGAGTCGGTGTAGAGCTTAAGGCTAGAAACCAGCAGAGCGGTGGCTCGAGGGAAGAAGCCTGCTCCTCTGTCTTCTTGTCTTAGCATGCAGTGCCCTATAGCGCCATCCCAAGGGGAGGGGATGAAACCGTTTATGACCAGGATGTGAGGAGCCTGCAGATCTCTTCTCGGCCGTCCTTCTGATCTGTGTAATTATATAGGTCTTCTATATAGGCATTCCTTTAAATTTCATTTCATTTAAAATTACTAAAAATAATTTTAGTAAATTAGCATATCCTTTGTCAAACCTAGCTAAAAAGCAGTTCAGATAAAGCTATATGATTGCTACTATATATTTGAACCCTTGAAAAAATACCCTCTACCGTGTTCCAGTTTTAAATACATTCCCAAATCTGGGAATATCGTCCCCTTTCAAACAATCAAGATTAGGAATAATTTTAGGGCCAGGGTAGTCTTGTAACTGAGTTGATACAGATACAATTTATAGGAATAAATGAACCTGTTTCAAACCCATTTCAGTTATCTAATAAAAGTCAATGTGTTCTGTTAGCGTCTGTGCTATTCTGCGTCTTTTCCCATATTCCGGCCAGTTATGTTCTGTTTGAGACTTAAGGAAAGCAAAGATGTGTAGTAGAACAAATTGAAGGTGGGAAAACAGAGTAAGATATGAAGATATGATAGAGCCATTGATAAATCCTTATTATAACCTGCAGTTATAATTTAATGTTATATTATATATAATATAAGCTAAATTTACACAGCGCATTAATCCAAAATCTGGTTTGCTTGATTGTGATTTATTCTTTAAACCACGGTTAGCCAAGCTCATCATGGTGTGAACTCCGTCCTGATGCGGAGTCTCCCTTCTGGAGGGCAGAGCGGTGGGCCGGGTGGGCCGGGTGGGCCGGGGCTGCTGCCCAACACGAGGCTCCCTCTTTATTTGCAGCCTGACCGGGGGGGGGGGGACCTCCGGGGAGCCGAGGCTCTGCTGGGCCGGCGGGTGGGAGAAACCAATCCTGGGGCCACAGCTGCCATTTGAGAGAGGAAATCTCTGGTGGGAGGAGAATGCTGACATTTAATAAAGAATATTTCACAGGCAGAAGGATTCATTGGGAAACAAGTTCAGATCTCACTTAATTAGAAAACATAGTTAGGCACATGGAACCAACCATTAACTATGGAATTCCCATCTGTACCTGTTGGGATCACAGGGTCAAACCACGTGCTACATGACCTGCGGGACAGGCTGCTGACCGAGCCCTCTGGGCACCGCAAAGGGAGCTTCGTCTCTGAGTCCGGAGGCCCTTGACCAAGCCTTAAAGTCCCCTGGGGTCTCTCGCTTGGAGCTCAAAGTCTTGCTCCTCCGTCTTCAGGGTGATGGAGGTGAAAAAATCCCTCTCGTTGGCAACCCTCCCCCCCCCCCCCGCCAGCTATTATCCAGCTGCAGCAGGTTGAATATTTAAGTCCTGAGAGCTTCTGACTGGAGGCATTGATTGGATCTAATTCCAGCACCAGCCTGGACTAAGTACAGTCATAATACGACTCAAATACTTTTCTGAATCCTGGACTTACTCATTTATTAATGAGGAGGAGATTTGTCTGAGAGGGGGGGAGGGGGGAGAGAGAGAGGGAACTCAGATCAGGAAATCGGAAGGAATAAATAAATAAATTGGAGTGCATCGTTTGCACGTGAGAGACATCAAATCCCTGTGTCTGATCCGGACAAGCCGAGAGGATCGGGATAGCCAAAGCCTTGAAGCAGAAGCCTTCACTGCAATCTCACTTCTTCCAAATTAGCCCCCTTTCTTACTTAGGAAAGCTGAAGGAGATCACAGGAGAGACTTATTCCATGCGGTCAGAAGACGGTTGCTGGGGACGGTTCGGTCTGGTTTTAGGCATTTATCACAGGTGCAGCAGAGGTGGGGGTGGATTTCTGCCCCCAAAACACATGAAAACAATTGTTTTCAGCCAGGTCCAACCTGATGGCGGTCAGCTGAACCATTGTCCCCCCCTCCCTTCCCGTTTCTGTAATTGTTGCACACCCACAAACATGGAAACATGCAAGCATGGCTTAGCTTAGTCCCAGAGAAGATTTCTTCTTCGGTTAATGTTTGTAGGATCCCACAGAGGAAAGATGGAAAATAAATCACCGCTGGAGTTCTTGGAGAATTAGTGTCAATTATAGCAAACAGCCCAAGACTGGGTGGATCAATTCAAAGCAGGAAATTCATTCGGGCAGAGTGAAGATTTTCCAACTCGCCTTCTTAGATTAATAGTTTGTCAGAAACTCAAATAGGCTTTGCATCCATTTGCCCTCCCTATTTCTCCTCCCTTTGGGAAACCTCTCCTCCACAGGGAGGCAGCCGAGATTCTGCACCAGTCCCATCCTTTAGCTGGTTTGGGTTAATGGTGCCTTTAGGATCACACTGGAGCAGCTCTGAAGGACTCTGGCACGCAGCTGTGTCTGTGCACTTACACACACACACACACACACACACACGCACACACCCTGCATTCACCCATACGAAATCAGCCAGGCGAGGGAGAAAACAGACTTACGAATAATACAGAATTGTCTTTGGAGTCCGTTTTTTTCTTCTTCTGAGTTTACTTTTTTTTATTAAAGCCACAGAAAATCCATCATGCGGAGTATTTCATATTATTATTATTATACAGCGAATCTGCCAGGCAGCTTCTGCAGCTCCTTCCATCAGGCAGACTTTGTGATGGCCTCCAGTTTTGCACAGTCACTAGAGTGTCGCACCATGAATTATTAAATCAGTGCTTCGTGGTAATACATAATTTCTTATCAATTATTCATGCTAATGTGTGTGTAGTTTACTTAATTGTGTTATTGACGATCAAAAGTAATTTCCTGAAAATCCTCAAGGACAGAAAATTTAATCAGCATAACTACTTTTCAGATGCAATGCTGTTAAGTGTTCTTAATTTGCTCAACAGTTCACTTATTTATGTACCTTTCTGGTGGAAAAATGAGTTTAATCAAACCATTAGAATGAAGAGTTAGTATATGTAACGGGCAAATTCACCTGAGTGATCGGTAATTATGCTGCAACGGAAGCGAAATTGCTTCTGTTTGGCAAACCGTTCTGGTGGCGGAACTTTTGGAAAGAAAGAGGATGAAAAACCGAGCGTCTCGCGGTGGCGATTGGGAGGGTGGCGGGAAGAGGCCGGGTGGGCTCCCTCCCTTCCTGGGCGGTTGGCGCAGCAGCTTCCTTGGCAGGGAGACCTGCTCTTGTTGCTCTTCAGATGAACGCCCTGTGATGGCCGGAGGGGGGAGAGGAGTTGGCTGCAGGCTAATGTGGGGAGGGGAGGGGAGGGGAGGGCAGCTGTGTTTCCTGCCTCTTCTCTTTTGGGAATGCCAGGGAATCAGAGAGACCACCGGGAAGCTCAATCCGGATCAATTGTACAGAGAAGAAATGACCCTTTCGTAATTTGGGGAGGGGGGAGATAGGTGGGATCGCTGGCCTCGCCCTCTGGAAAAAGGCAACACTGCAAGGTTGTTTGTCGTCCTAAAGAAGAGCGTGCAGAACGAGGCTTCTGCCTTCGTGCCAGAGAAATGCTCTAGGCCTGTGTGGTTGGTGCGTATTCGGCACCCTTCGGCTCACCAAGCTATTTGAGGAATATACAGGTATCCTGTCAGTTGGGAAAACATCTCCCTTGCTTACAGCGCCTCTCTTCATCTCTGGTTTACAGGCCCAGGACTATAATTCTACATGTTAAAGGTTCCCCCAATAAGACACACTTCCGCTTCCTTTACTCTAAACTGCCAAAGGAATCAGAAGGGCGCTGACTCTATTGGTGATGGGTAGCTAAGGTGCGAAGCCTCCGTAAGTGAACCCACGGGCTCCCGAGCGACTCCTCCGGACACCAAGGGATCTTTGCCAGGGCAGAAGAGGAGCACGTCTTCGCATTAATGGGCGACTCCTAAAAAAACGGTGTGTGTGTGTGTGTGTGTGTGTTTAAGCACAACTGGTTTCAGAAGACACCCAGAGAGGAATTAGGACAAGGCAGGAATTGGATCTGGAAAATCTGCAGCACCACAACTTCTAATTAATTACAATCGTGAATCAAACTTTGGTTGAAAGTGATTGTTCCGGTGGCCGTTCTTCCTCCTGCTCTGCAGACGAGAAGAAAGGAAGGAAGGGAGGGTGTTTGTCTTAAACCTCTCAGGGGGATCTGGAGGCAGAACTGGAGGTGTTCGTTTGTGTGAAATTTACAGTTTGCCGCAGCAAGAATCAGATTCAAATTGAAAAAGGATTCTTGGTATGGGAAGAGAACAGAGCAATCCCTCTCCATCAAAGAGGGGATCTGAGAATGGATTCATTTGCAAAACTCCTTTTGTTATCATCCTTCAGACATTTACCTAGAAGGAAACTCCACCGGATTCAGGGAAACTTATTTCTGGAAATACATCTACGGAATTGTACTGCCAATGTCCCAAAATCAGATATCATTTACAGTCTGGCCTAAGGTGTTTTTTTTCCCAATGTTGTAAGCTTTAAAAAAATGTCCCTTGACCCATAAAACCTTTCAAACAGATTACACTATAAATGGAAGGGCTGGGTCATCACCCAAATCACCTGGCTGGACAACCCCTAGATGCCACCGCTGATGCCCTCGTGGACCTTCTAAAGGAAGGTAGATGATTTCATGAAACTATTTCTGATTCCTATAATGCAGGCTCAGTAGGCCCCGTCTCTCCTGACATGGGCAGAAATTCAGTATCATCAGTACAATGAGGCTACGCCTATTGGTAGGTACGTAATTTTGGCTTCCCTTTCTGCACATTACGGATCACTGCCGAAGTGGCGGGGTCAGTCGGCACAGTCCAGCCTCCTGAACCATGCTCATCATGTTCTCATCATCTCAGGTTCTGCCCTCTGAGATGCAGCTTTTCTTAAGGAAGAGGCTCACAGGTGCTCCAGGAGGCCTTGGGAGACATCCTTCCATCTTCCGTCACAGGGGAGATTCCCTGATCTAAATCTCCTTTCAACTGAGCTAATGGCAAGAGGCGCCGACAGATTTAGTGAGAGCGATAAGGAACCTGAGGGAAGGGGAGCTACCAGTCAGAGGTGGCCAAAACAAGTGAGCGCCTGCGTCTTGCTAATTTGCAGCAACCGAGTCTTCTCCCAGCCGCAGAACAACCCGAGGAGTTGGACTTCATTTTGGTTTTGGAGGATGTGAGGGGTCCCCGTGGGTGGGAGGTGGGCTCTCAGACGCTCTTCTCGCTCTCCTTCTGCTCCAGGCTCAAGGGGGGCTTGTTGTCCAAAGCATTCTCGGAGGTCGGCTTCGGCCCAGAGGCCGGGCTGGGGCTGGGGCTGCCGGAGGCCAGGAGGTTGGCTGACTGCAGGACGGCTTCCGAGTGCTCCCGTGCCTTCATGCGCAGGGCGGCCACGCTAGCCGTGCGGTTGCTCTGACAGCCGTACGTGGGGAGGAAGGAGAGGCCCATGTGGTCAGGGACACAGCAGGAGCACAGAGGGCTACCTGAGGGAGAGAAAAGGGTCAACAGACAAAACCGCCAGGAGGCTGCCCGAAGGACCACAAGCGAGAGAGCAGAGACCGTCTCTGGACACCAGCCAGAAGAAGCAGCAGAACCTGCTGGTCCAGTTCACAGGCCACTTTGAACAGGGACGCGCAGAGGGCGGATCCCAGTCTGGCAGAGACCGTAGCTCCAATGGGGTGGGAAATAGTTGCAAAGCAGGGGCGGAATCCAGGGCTACCAAGGACATTTTGGACTATTTCCCTCAGACCATGGAGCCATTACAGCTGGGGGTTTCCTCCTTTGTCCCCATGCCCTCGGACCATCAACAGGCAACACCAGGCAGTGGGACATTCCTTCCCTCCAAAAACCTTTGCCCAAAACAAGGAAGACCTCACTGGCAGCGCAACCTGGCTCAGTCCTGGACTTATTTCCTTCGCCCCCAATGCCAGGACCTGAAAGCCCCCCCTGCTCCTTGGCTACAGATTAAGACCAGGGAAGCCCAGGGACAACGTGTGCAGAAACAGCTAGGAAATGTTAAAATGGGAGAAACGTTAGTTTAAAATCAATAACAAGTGTTCATAATAAACCACAGTATGCCTTCAGTTCCTGAGTCCAAGATCTCTCCTCTGAGTTTTATTAGGACGGAAGTAAATAGTAAGAAGTACGTAACTTAATTTCTCACCATAAGGAGAAATTTCCGAATGGTGAGAGCCATCAACCAGTGGAACAGACGGCCTCCAGAGGTTAATGGGGGCGCCATCACTGGAGGTTTTCAAAAAGAGACTGGGAAATGGCTGAAATGGCCAAGGGTCTCCTGCTCAACAGGGGGTTGGACTAGAAGACCTGCAGGTTGTTCTATGCTCTGAGTCGCTGCTTCAGCTCCCCAACTATCCAGCTTCCACGGGAGCAGCAAAAGGGCAGGGAGTGACTGGCACGAGATCCCCCCAGTTCAGAAGGGCACAGGGGGGGGAGGAGAGGAACATACCACACCTAACTCCCAGCCCTCTTTTGGAAGCCCTTGGAGACGCCAGAGATTCCTCTGCTGGAATCTGGTTTCAGACCCATCAATAATGGCAGCACAAGTGTTCCTTGGACGTTTCTTTGACCCAAAGCGGCTTTTCCCAAAAGGACCTCCGTGGGGTCTTTCCCCCTTTGGAAACTTATCCAAGAAGCAACAGACTTCCGGGATTCTGCTAGTAGCTACAAATCCCCAAATTTGAAATGTAAAAGATGCGCAGAGGCCCCCGTGGCACCCGAGCAAGGGTAGGAAGCAAAAGGCCGAGAAGCCGTCCTGGAGGACAACAGGCGCTGGAGCTGCATTTGGGACTCGGCCTTAATGGTTCTCTGGTTCATAATAGCCACAGTTCTTGAGCTGCCCTCCAAGCCCAATCCTGGCCGTCTTGTGCTGAGCCAGAGCAACCCTGGGGGAGCCTGTTAGCCCCTCTTTAGAGCCCCCCCCCCAACTGAGCCTTCCTGCGTGCAAAGCAGAAAGTCTCTTCCTCCATCTTCAAAGCAACAGGGAAGGCCCTGGTGGGCTCAGCGGTGGGTCTGCGTGGGGCTCCATCCTTTGCCTCCTGCCCAAACAGAACGGCTTCTACTAGGCAGGGAATTGGCCATTATTTTAATTTCCCATGGTTTATCAGCTACGTCTCTTCTACGAGCTAGCCCAGCAAACTTTTGTATTAATGCCCAAGCACTCTTGGGACTAAATGCCCTTGTAGTGGCAGATTTTGTGTCTGGTTGCACATTTAATTAAAAATGACCTGCTAATATCGTCACAGAAAGAGGCTTCTGGAGATTCTGCTGCCTGAGCAGCACAAACCAGATCTGCCCAGACAGACGGACCGGATCTTCAGCCATCAGAGTATTTAGGGCACGTTGTCTGAATCTTGAATAACAAATTGGATGGATGAAAAGAAACGGAGGCTTCATCTTGGTCAGCCCAAAGGAGACTAAGGAAGAAGACCAGGACAATTGCTGACATTCTCCGGATGTCCTCGGAGAGCATCCTCCGGGCACTGAGGCCAAGGGCTGGGTCTTCTCGGGGAGTCTGCCTTCCCCACCTGGCATCCTAAGATCCCGCTCCCTCCCTCCATAGTGGGCTGCTTCCTGATACCTCTAACCGCACCTTTGCTTGGCTCCACTTCCACCAGAGGTCAGTTTGCTAAGGTGGACCTTCTCTTCTCTTCTCATCAATGCATTTTCATTCTTTAACTGGTTTGTTTAATTCTTTTCCGCCCCCATTTTTACTCTTGCTGGTTCCCATGAGCCTCTGAATACCCCCAATACATTCTTTCCATGGCTTTGGTAGCCCTCAGCCCTGCCCTGTAGGATTAGTACCAAGGGCTCAGCGTCCTCACAATGCCCTATTTTAACTTCCATGGTACATCAGGGAACCCTAAGAAACAGGGAGGGGACCCTTTCAGCGCAGGAGGACAGGAGAGCAAGAGAAATAGCGACATAAGGTACACCAGTCATTTTTCCAGTCTTTAAAATCTTCCGTTACTGCAACCATCAATTTGAGCTGCTACATTTTCCTCCCCCCAAATCCAGCCCATCTGGGCTACAGCAGCCCCGTGTCGCCTCCCCTCCCCTCCCCTGGGCACAATAACGCCGGGTGCCTCTCTGGTTGGCCTGACGGGTAATATTTCAGCTGCTTTCCAGGCGCTGCTTTGGGCCCCGTGTCGAGGAGGCCTTTTATTTACATGCACTTGATACTCCCGAGAGTTGATTTCTGATTAGAAAGCATGTTAATTGATCTGTTGCATCGCTTCAGAAAATTGTTAACATGGGACAAAAAAAAAAAAAGGAAAGCATTAAGAAAATCAAATCCTACCACATGTCAGGCAAAGCCTAAGCAATATTTGTATTTCATTCTTAAGTCCAGTGGGAGGCTAAAGTAAGGCAATAAGTTCAGCTCAACTGTCCTGGTCAGGTGCCGCCGCCACTTCAAGTAAACACACCTGAAGGGACCCACACACAAAATGCCCACTTTAGTGAGACTAACAGCCTTAACTTCGTTTTGTTACTTTTGCCTTATAACCGACGGACTGACGACTACGGCCTTGGTCAGTTGAGACTCTCACATCACCCT